AAAAAAAGAACCTAAAGATGGCTTTAAAACTGAATGTGCAAATCTAACTTCAATCAAACATTTACCGCTCACTCAGGAGTTTGAAAAAAGGGGGTTGCAGACTAGTATTTTGAATTGTCATTACCACAATTAATAAATAAAATATTTCATATAATCTGAGCTCGAAAAATAATGTTTATCTCCCACCATACTCAGTGAAGAGGAGGTGAAAAAAAAAAAAAAGCTCACTGGAGAAAACCTGTAACAACAAGACGAAACTTGGCAGCATAGTGACACACATTGAGGCTCACGTTTAAATGTTTACCAGTGAGGAAACTGACTATAGTCAACAACCTCCTTGATTTCTTACTGTGACGTCGCTAGAATTTAACTGATTTATTATCCGTCAGTGTTTAACAAATACTATCAACATGCAGTACATTTGATCCATTGAGTCATACTTGATTCTCATCTCATTTGCATGACAGCCCCTACCCCTACTTACCCGTTACTAAGTAAACCTAACGATCATCCTCCCTGCATGCGTCCCATGTATGTTTTCTACTCGGAGCTAAACTTTCCCAGATTTATTAATTTAATCAACTGATGAATTCAATAAGGAATGTTTTTAATCGCACACAAATTGTATTTGATATTTTGTCCTTGACTTATTAAAATAGCATCAGTGCAAAACAGGTAATTATAACAAATGTGACGGTAAGTAAAGTCCTAAGATGTTTAATGGAGTCTTATTATATTTGGTGATATTTGAAAATTGCTTTGCATTTCTTTTCAATGTTAAGAATTACAAATTGGACAGTTTTATGTCGGGTTTTAAAGTTTTTGATTTTCCTTTCATTTTGCCACTGCATCTTTTAGCTGTCCTGACAATAGGGGTGTTTTATGTTTACAGTAAATTGTGCACAACCAAGTCCTGCGAGCAGGACATTTTCCAACTTGCTAAAGCACACAAAGCTTTTATTCCAGGCGGCCTAGACCATTTTTTTCTCCCATTACACAGACTGTTGTTAAAATATTTTCATTTCTCAAATGTGGTTTTCTTTCAGCGTGATCGTATAACAAGTTTCAGGAAAACTGGCACAAAGAAGGAGAAGCCTTTTATTCAGCACCCGACTGATCCCATCTCTACCCAAGCCGAACTCCCTCAGCCGCAGCCTTTCTTTGACGAGAGATCCATGAACCTCTCGGAAAAAGAAATAGTTGACCTCTTTGAGAAGATGATGGTAAGCTTTGTTTTCTTTCTTCTCCTTCGTTTAACCTAAGTTCACTCAATAATAGAATCCAATTTAGAATGCTTCATACAAACAATATGTAGAAGCTCATTTTGAAAAGATGTATTAGTGTCTTAGTATTCATGGTTCCTTGTTTTACTGCAGAGGACATTTGGTGTGTAAAACAGTTTTAATATGAACATGATTGACCTTTTTGAGTTGGCATAGCTTTTTCCGACTGCTTAGAGGCAAAAGTGAAAATATGGCCTAGAGGTCTCCCTAATGATCGATCAAGGTTAAACTGATGCTGAAAAGTATCATTGTGTATTTCTGAAAATAGTGGATTTACATAGTCAACCCTAACCCATTTAATGTAAAATCAATATTACAGAGGATCAGAAAACTTTCAGATCTTGATTATAATCCTTGACCTTAAAGCAGCTGCCCAAACTTTTTGCCACGACGGCCAAAATTGTCTTGTTAAAAGCTCATGTAAACCACAAAAATATGTATATATTTTTTTTCAAAATAGAATTTTTTTTTATTTTTTTTATTCGCTCAATAACAAAATAACCATGCAAGACTCAGGTCAGCATAACTGCCTGAGTTTTGTGATTTCTTATTATGCATGTGAGTAAAAGTTGTTGATGTTTGTGCTTTCTATTTACTATCAAACTAAGATGAATGCAGTAGCCTGGTTAATGCATGAGTAATAATTTATGTCTTGCCTAACCAGCAGATGATACCACTGCAGACCCCAAATATCCAAAAACCAGCTGCCACAGAGACAGTTTCTTCCCTCAGGCTGTTAATCCAATTGACACAATGAACACCGTACAGCCAGGGCAGTTAGCTACTGTGTGTAAAACAAGATATGCATATTTGCACTATATTTTAGCATAAAAATTAGCAGTGCATATATTATTATATATACATAGTGTTGTATTATTTTTATGCTCCTCAAAGTTTGTATATATATTATATTAGATGTCTATTTAAAGTCAAATTCCTTATTTATGCACATAAACTTGGCAAATTAAGCATATTCTGATAACATTTTACATATATTAAGACTTTATTTTTCTGTAAAAATGTTGGCCTTAAAAAAAAAAAAAAAAAATGTCACACTACTAAATCTGCTTGCAGGTTAAATTTACCATAACGTTTAAGAGTGCATATATTACCCAAAGGCTAAAGCTCAGATGATTGAAAAGTTCATTAAAAAATATAAATCAAAGTGTGATGCAAGTTGAGATAAATGTGGTTAAACACATGAACACAGATTAACTAACTAATTCCATTTTTCCTGTATGGTTTCCAGTTTGGGAAATTAGTCAGTGTGAGTTTCCAGGCATGCCATGATGCTATTTAGTGGGCAGGAGACATCGTCAGTGATGGAGAGAGAAGTTTTGAAAATATCCTTCACTGCATACAGATGGTTCGCCTCCACCCAGGTCTGAGCCGGCTTAATCAATTTCTGGAGTCTGTTGGTGTTGTACGCCCTCAGGCTGTTTTCCCAGTAGTCCTCGGTGTGGTAAATGGCACAGGCCAAGACAGATTCATGCAATGCTGGCAGTCCGTGTTGTTTTTTTTGTTTTTTTCCAACCCCTTCACCCAAACATCAAAAGGCAGGAGATTCCTCAGGAGGCGGGACAGAACAGTAACTCTGTTCTGTTTTTCAGAAAGCTGTATTGTATTTTCCATTCTTTTTTGCTGTCCAAAACAGAGATTGATGCATGTGTCATCAAGGAGTTAAATGACTATTAATTTGTGACTTGTGGAAGTCTGGAGCTGACCCCACAACTTAACCCCGGATTGAGTGGAAGATAGTGGATGGATTGATGTTAAATCGGGCAAGACAGTCACATGGTCTGAAATGATCTTTTTCCCTTTAGAAACTCTTTTCTGAACATTTTTCCCTAAATAGTGAAGTCAAGCCCTTGCTTTCCTCTGTTTTTGAGAGCCTCTGACAAGTGTCTTTGTATTTTTACACATTCCCCAGAACACTGAAATGACTTTCCCCTTCTCTGCCGTCTTGTATCATTTTCATTCATTTAAAGCAAAATGTCCATAGTTAATATTTATTAGAAATTATTGTTGTTATATGTAAGAGATCGACAATTAATCAGTAACTGAACTCTGATCCAGAAAGGCACAGTATTGTGGGGGATGTAGGCAGATTAAAGCCTTTAGCCACTCAACCCCTCACAGCCAGCTAAGCAAGGTGGGTGGCATCAACTAACCCACACTTTGGTTACCTAGCAACTCACTCACTCTAAGGTTACCACCAACAATCTGGTGAGTAACTTGATCAGTAGCAGGTTAAGGTTTTGCCAGTGTGTCACATAACTGCTTAAAAATAAACAATGTGGAGTGAACCTTGTGGATAAAACAGGAAAAGTCAAGCCTCCAGTTTGGCAATGACTCAGATATTTAAAACGACAACAACAAAAAAAACAAGTCAATAATTATTGATGCCGTCTGTGAAACACTAATTTCAAAAGTTCATGTAATATTTGTGGCTCTAAAGTTTTATTTAGCTAGACCGGGGTCAAGAAATGTCTGGTTTAGGCTTTTATTTCTCACCACAGAAGTATTTTGCAGTATAATATGTTAAAGCTACCACAAAACTCATAGAACATATGCTACATTTATCTGAATTGGTTATGTGGAGCCTTTATACTTCTTGATCTTATCAGTCGGCAATCCTTGCTGGGGCCGCTTGATGAGACCCGTTTTCTCCTTATTCAAAATTACTTTTAAAAATTCATCACATAGAACATGTGCACCTAAGCAGTGTCTACATTTACACCAAACCAACCTGACGCTGCTTAACAACACCTAACCTCTGAATGCTTCCAGGAACCTGAATAACGCTTCATAAAAATGGATTTCTTTTTTTCTTTTTAGTACAGCTACAAATTGCAATCATTTTGACAACTTGTTGTCAAAAGGCAAAGACTTTCTGTTTCTCTTTCGGCGTCGCAACGTCCTTGGTCCAAAAAAAATGAAATGACACCAGTGACTCCTTTTACAGCTTGTACACTTTCTTTAATACAAAGTACAATTGGACTGAGTCATGTTTTAACCTTTGACCATCACGTAATCAGTTGCTTCTATTCCCACAATGCATGGTTGTCCTTCACGGGGTAGACTTTTGCTTGACAGTTTCTGGAAGTACAGAAAGTCCAGTTTCTGTACTTCCACCTTGAACTGTAATCCTTTTATAAACAGTTTGTTATACTTTGTTGGGTTGTTTTAAACCCAAACCACTTCAGCGCTTTTAAAGTAGTTTTTTTTTTCTTTTAGTTATTAAATCATGAATGGAAGCAAACATGCTTTTGTAACGTCCAGATGCATTTTTAATGCACTGAAGACAATTCTAGGGTTGCTACTGATGCACATTTCAAAATAGTCATACCAGTGTTTTGTTGGGTGTTTAATGATGCATCACTGACATGCTCTTTATCTGATTGTAATACAATCACCTGCTCACTTCTACATTTGATCCAGTTGTTCTGTCTGTCTGTGCCCAGCATAAAAAGAGGATCTTCTGTGCTTTTATGTATCATGAAGCTATCCATTCACTTGTCTGCCATTGTGCAGCCCCTACAATGCTGCCTCCAGAGTGTGTCATTCAGACTGCCATCCACATTCTCTTCTTTCTTCATAGCTGTAGAAGCCTGAGTGTTGCTACTGTCAGCTCTTGTCCTCAGGCTTTCACCATCGTCTCTTTTGTGCTTCCTCGTCTCAGTGCTTGAACTCCAACCAGTAATGTCCCCAAAATTGAGTCAGGTTTTATCGTTTGGGTTGTCTGACATGCATTGCCTTGCTAAAGTGTTACAACCCCTTGAACTTTTTCACATTTTGTTGAGTTGCAGAAACAAACTTCAGTGTATTTTATTGGAAGTATTTTTTTTTATGTGATAGGCAAACCAGAAATGGGACCTCAGGAAAATGATGCATAGTTTTTCCACTTTTGTGACAAATAGAAAATAATCAAAATGGATGGCATGCATTAACTTTGATGCCCCTAAATTCGATGCTCTCCTTCCTTATTGATTGAGTTTGAGTTACAGTGAACCATTATATTTGTGTTTAACTTGAATCCAAATTATTTGCTATTTTTTTTGTAGAGCATATTTAAATTATTTGACAGAAAATTAAGCTTAGGATTTCTACATGACACGTTATTGGCTGGTGTTTGCAAAGTAGTCGGTCCAGATGTGCCATTTATTTTTCTTTCTACTGATTGGCTATACTTTTGAGAAAGGAGATGAAGTCTGTAGATGCTAACTTCTGCAGCAGAGCAAAAAACCCACACTGTACATATTAATTCACATTTAGGTACATTTGATGTTTGAGTTATTACAATAGGCACTTGTAAGGTGTAAGATTGAGTTTTTGTAACTATTTCTTAATAAACTGAAGTGGGTTTAAATCAGAGAAACAACTGGAACAATTCCACCTCATTTTTCTTAAAATACCTTTTGAAAGGCGCTCACATTCATATGTGAATATCCAGAGGAACTTTGGAACACAGTCAACAAGTTATGATATGCAGCCTAAGACAACTGCAGAGCTTTACGAACTCAGTTGCATATTTGCATGAGCACTGCAGTAAAACAACTCTCCAAAGACTGCAAGCGATTGCTAATCTCATTCTGCATTGAGAGTTTCAAATAGACTGCGTGCAGGGCCCATATTTTCTTACAGCAGTAATGACTCACAGCACCAAATGCAATCATTTGACACCGTCATGTTTGTGTTACCATTGTTCTTGGGAACAAAAGGAGCTTTGGCACAAGGATTTGGATTTAACATGACTTTTTTTTTTGTTTGTTTGTTTTTATGCCATTTGTTGACAGATTTAGTATAAGTCATTTTAAATCTGGTTTTCATTTGGGCAGATTTAAAATGCTAAATATCAGACTTACTTCTCCCTCGTCCCTGGGGTCAGATGTCACTTTTGTGCATTTCTGGCCTTGTGTGCTGCAGGACTGAAATGTGAA